TATTTTTAAAGTCGTTCCTTTAAAAAAAATCCAGTTTTTTATTTAAATTTTCTTTAAAACTCCAAAATTTCCTCTTAAAAAAGCTTAAAATCTCTCAACCATGTGCTCCTGCAATATGAAATATAAAGTACCTTTTTCTACTTCAAGAGGGAGAAAACAGGGCATAACCACAATCTGTATGGCAAAACCAAGCTCCAACAGTGCAAACAATTCAAAGATCTGGGATTCATTCAAACTTGAGGTTTTCTCGAGGGGCTTGGATAACCTCTTTGGCTCATATACATAGGCTACCTTCTAGGTCTCAGCCTGCTCCATTTCACTGTGGCTGGTGCTTCTGGTGACTAGCACATGGTACCAGCATTTCCAAAACTTCTAAGGTCCACCAGTGCAACTGTGCTCTCTTTAGGAACTCCAGCCCTGCCACACATTGGTAAGTCTTGGCTGTTGCCCATGACCCCTTCATGTCTTTAAAACCAATATCACCTGGGTGACTCTTATGTTATAAAGTCTGGCCACCAGCACAAGGTACATTCTTGCATATGAAAGCATTGAGGTGCAGCCTTAATACCTTATTAAACAAGCATTGTTTTTAAATTCTTTCATAAACCTTGTTTCTAGGACAGGACAGAAATCATACAAAAATCTATCCTAATCCAAAATATCTTGGAGAATTGTTATTGCCTCATTGGTAGTCCACACCATGTGGTCACCTTTAATCAAGATGGTGGTGAAATCACATGACATCCATCTTCTCCAATCAGCAAAGATGGCTGCCAGCCATGTGGCTGCCTAAAGATGGTGGCAGTCAATGTCTTGCTTATATCCCAAAATGGAATCATGCCACATGGTTCCTTTAAGATTGCCTATGCATAGATGTATAGATTTTTAACTATTAACTCTCAGTGTTACTAGTTTTTTTCAACTTTTTTCACAGATTTTAAACCATACCCAATAATATAAACTTAGAAATCTTGAGGTACAGATTTATTTTCACATAGACCAATGTTTTGACTGTTCTGCTTCACTTTCTTTCCTCTGTCACAGTGTCAGGTGGATCAGCTGACACAGGACATAGAGGAAACTCTTAAATATGCCTGGGTCTGGAGAAGGGAGAGCCATAACCCAACTCTAGAGCCAGCTTTCCAATAAAGTAGAACAGTATAAAACAACTTTAATGTCATCCACACCAAAAAGACTTCTGAACTCCTGCTAACTCAAATCCAGTGACCAGAGAGCTCAGAGATAAATTCTGAGCCCCAGCCATAAATGCAGCCATGGCAGCGGTGGTGACTGGTGGCTGGCAACAGAGACAGCAAAAATATCCGACCCATTTCTGTCTCAGCTCCGTGTTTGCCACAACACTTACAGACACACCAGAAAACACAGACAGACACCACTTTCTGAAGAAATAGACAGACACAACTTTCCATGGGAAACAAACAAAATTTTCTAACCGACCAGACCCAGGTGGGCAGGCAACATCTCATTGTTTGCCCTGGATGAGAGAATAGTGGAGCCCTGTCAAACCCCCTCCATGTCCCAGCTAGGGATCTCACAGAACAGAACCAATCTGTGACTCACCAAGGGACCTCTGTAGATGCTGCATTTCTCAGCGTGGCAGTTGACTTCCATAGTCCTCAAACTGAAGGGAGCCTTGGAGCCTTGGAACATCTCAAGGCTCATGCCTCCTGAAGAAGCCTCTCAACTCCGGATGGAGTGAAAGTCCAGCTTTAGAATTTGGGTGGGTGGTCTGAATCTTGCTCGGGGCTCCAGAAAATGTTAATCCCATCAGCTGAGAATAAGACCACTACCACAGTTTAAATCCAAATTTAAAGCAGCTTTAATTAAATACTGGTCAGGTGGATATGTGAAAATGTGTGATTACCCATGCTTACCTGGTGTCCTGTGAGGTCAGGAGGTATCATAACACCTGGAACTGGAGTTATAGATGTTTGTGAACCATCATGTGGATACAGGTGATAGAACCTGGGTCCTCTACAAGGGTAACAAGTGGTCTTAACTGCTAAGCCGTCTCTTCAGCCCCTCCCCATCCCTTGCCTTTTCCGAGGCCTGTGACATCAGCTCACAAATGCTGTGTTTTAACAGGGACAAGTCAGTCTGGCGGAAAATGAGGTTGTTTTAACAGAGATCCATGATGTTTGAAGGATCTCTGGGGATGATGAGGGATACCTGGGGCCCATGGGGAGGTTGATGCACCACTCTTTATTTGTTGAATCAATTAAAAATCAAATGACTTGCAGACACGGTTTAAAGCGACAGGGTTTGGTTTGGTTTGGTTGCCACTATCTGAATGATTCTTGTCAAAGCATTTTTTGACATAAATTAGATGAGAAATCTTGATCTAGTTTATTGTAATTAAGCAAAGCAGGATGGGAAGGCTACAGGGAGGGTAGCCACTTGTCTTTTTCATCATTTTATGATCTGTCGCTTTTCTAGGATAAAGTAGGTTTAAATGTCACATTTCAAGTACCTATGTACTCTGATAATTTCGTCTCAGGTTTCCAAACATTGTACAATTATTTTAAGGAAAAAAAAAACTATGAAAAGAAGCATGTGTGGAGTCATATTCTCCCTACCCTGGTTGTTACTTGGCTTCTCAGAGACGTGATTCCTTCCCCATCTGAAAATGAGGTGTGCTTTACAATCCTGCCTGCACTTGATGTAGTGTGGCTCGGTGCCCCCTCGCCCCAGCCACAGTCATTAAACACAATCTGCCTTTCCCAGTGAGGCACATCTTAGAGAAGAAAAAGGCCTGGCCCTCCTTTGGAAGGTGACACCACTCATTCCCACTGAGCCTGCTGTGAGCTTGCCCAGCAGTGAGCCCAGCAGGGAGACGCTCTAATGGCACCCAAGGCCTGGTGCAATCAGGGTGAAGCAGATGGAGAGTTCCTGGTAGCTGATTGAAGCCAGTACTGACTGATTACACAACATGCTGCAGCTTTTAAAATCCTTGGTCCACACATGCTATTGCACTGTGCCCTAAGCTGCTCAGCTTTTTAAAAACCTTGGTCCACATGTACTATTGCACTGTGCCCTAAGCTGCTCAGCTTTTAAAATCCTTGGTCCACACATGCTATTGTGCTGTGCCCTAAGCTGCTCAGCTTTTTAAAATCCTTGGTCCACACATGCTATTGCACTGTGCCCTAAGCTGCTCAGCTTTTTAAAATCCTTGGTCCACATGTGCTATTGCACTGTGCCCTAAGCTGCTCAGCTTTTAAAATCCTTGGTCCACACATGCTATTGTGCTGTGCCCTAAGCTGCTCAGCTTTTTAAAATCCTTGGTCCACATGTGCTATTGCACTGTGCCCTAAGCTGCTCAGCTTTTTAAAATCCTTGGTCCACACATGCTATTGCACTGTGCCCTAAGCTGCTCAGCCTTTTAAAAACCTTGGTCCACACATGCTATTGCACTGTGCCCTAAGCTGCTCTGTCTGTCCAAGGTGTCCCCATTCACTGGACACGGGAGCATAGTGATTGAGTGACTGTTCGACAGACATTAGCGAGGACACGGACACCATGTGGGTCAGAATGTTGCCTTCTGCTTCTATGCTGAGCCTGCCCTGCACCACCTCTGAGACGCCGCAGGAAACTTCTGATGCTTGCCCATCTGCAATTGTCCCATGTCTGTTCAGCAACTGTGGACTCAAGATGTGTGTTCTTTGTAAGACTCTGAGAATCACAGTTTCCCACACATCTGGCTGTCCCCTCCCCCACCACAAGGAACAGGAAACCACTTTTCCCCTTCCCATGAATAAAACTAAGAAGGTTATTATTTCTTTCTGGTCTTTCTTTGAGATTCTCTGCTTGTTTTAACTCTGAAATTGCACATTTCTGAGGCATTGTTTATTATTTATTTGTATGATCAAAATACCCTGTCGCCGGATATTATAGTCTTATTTTTTAATTTTAGGGTGATGCTTTAAAGGATTTTAAATTCCAAAGTGTCTCTGCCCGCTTGTCTGTCTGTCTGTCCCCTTTTCCTCCCCCCAACACACACAGACACATACACACACACACACACACACACACACACACACTCGTACACACACACTTATGTGTACATACTACATATATATATGGAAGACACAGAACTTGTTTCAACCCTGTCTAGTTCCATGGCATTCAGTATCTCTTCCATATTTATTCACCTACTCTGTAAGCACACCTTCCATTCTAGGAAATGCTGTGACTCTTACAGCTCATTTTATTCCCTTTGAGAAGGGCAATCTTTTTGCTTTTGTTTGATTCAAGAGGGAAAATTAGATCTCAAGTGCTGTAGGAGGATGTGATGTCTTAACTAGTAAGGGCAGGAACCAAGGTCTGAGTCTTCCAGGTAGAGGTGACTGCAGGGCACAGAAGAGCCTTGGGCTGTGTGAGATCTGTAGCTAGACTCAAGGGAAAGCCGAGTCCTGGGGCCAGACTGGTGTCAACACGGCTTACGTCATTGTGTCCATCACCTCTGTCTTGTTCCATGATTGGTGTGTAGTATGACCCCAGTAGTTCAAAGTAGACACCAGTGAAATGGTGAAATGGATGGAGAGGTTTTTTTTTTTTTAAACATTATTTTAAAAGTAGTTTTGAGCCAGATGTAGTGGCACAAACCAATCCCAGTACTTGGAAGGCAGAGGCAGGATGATCTCTGTGAGTTGGAAGCCAACCTTGTCTACATAGTGAGTTCCAGGCCAGCCAGAGCTGTGTGTCATCTTCAAATACTCTCACTCTCTCTCTCTCTCTCTCTCTCTCTCTCTCTCTCTCTCTCTCTCTCTCTCTCTCTCTCTCTCTCTCTCCCTCTCCCTCTCCCTCTCCCCCTCTCCCTCTCCCTCCCCCCCCCCTCTCTCTCTCTCACACACACACACACACATACAAACACACACACATATACATACGCATGTGCACACACATTTCAATCCATTTAGGTACTGGGCTTAATTTGTAGAGGTACTATCACATTAATGCAAATCTTTTTCATTTCCCCCTAGGTCCAACAGGAGCAGTTAAAGATGCGTAAGTACTTGACATTTTGTTATTATAACCCCTCTCTCTGAGAAAGGCTGTTTTTCATGATTCTGACCTTTAGGAGTCTAGATATGACTGAAAAGACATGGGACATTTTCTGTGCTGTGCACTTGTAGACATCATTTGATTGACAGCTCAGTATGATTTGAAGGATGTTACTGTTTGTGACTTTTCGTATTAGTCCTTCAGTTACACTGGCATTCTTACTTAGCATGTCAATAAGAAGGAATATGTTTGTCTGTCCATCTCCGCCTGTGCAGAGACTTGAGTTAGCAAAAGTGATGATGCGACAGCCTGACATGTCACCCCTGGGACTGTGCTGTGTCTGAGAGCCGTCCAGGGAGGAAAGATTACTCATATGAACACTCGCTCGCTTTGGTGGTAAGAACTAGATAATCCTGGATACGCTGGGGGTCTTCCAGAGTTCGTGTGTTGGAGAGTCCGTCCTCAGATTCCTGGGTTAATACTTGGAAGCTTTGGGGAGCTAATTAGGGTTCATGGGTTTGACGCTGGAGTCCCCTTCTTGTCATTAGTGGGTTTCTAAGAAGGGGAAGAGACACCAACCAAGTGTGTCTTTGTCTCACGGTGTCCCCAGCAGAAGCTGAGCATATGCCACATTGTGCTCTCGGACCTCACAACTTCCAGAACCACAACCCAAATACACTTCTATTATTTGAAGGTTACCTGATCTCAGGTGTTTTGTTACAGCCATGGAAACTGGATCAGTTTCCTTCTGTATAATCTGTGTTGAACTGATCTTCAGGCTGTAGAACTTAATAATCAGGCTCCTCAGTGTGAGGTTTCTCCTGCTTGGGAATGTTGTCCGTGTCTCCATTGCACTTTCTCTGCATTCTGCTGAATTGTATCTGTAATCTAGGTAGCATAAGGCTGGGACAGGAGCTCACTGTTTTAGGGGTTTCTGGTTACAGTGCTGCCCCAGTTTCCTTTCTGTTGTGGTGAAAACAATTCAGGGGAGAAAGCATGACTTTGACTCAGTTCCAGAGGGACACAGTCTGCCTGGGCAGGGAAGGCAGGCCTCAGGAACAAGAAACTGGCTCATCACCGTGCATCAGCACTCAGGAAGCAGAAGGAATAGGAAGTGGGACCCACCCCCAGGACAGCACTTCCTCCAATGAGGCTACACCTCCAGAAAGTTCCACAACCTTCCCAAACAGCATCACCAGTTAGGGACTGAGTGTGCAAACACACCAACCTGTGGGGGCCACCTCACACTCAAACCAAAACCATGAAGGTTGGGATTCACCTTCCTGTCCCAAATTAGTTAGATGATGGAGCCATGCAACGTCAAGAGAGGATGCATAGGTTTGGTGTTTATTTGGTGAGGCTTTCTGGGGAGAACAGGGTTGCACACAAAGTGGTCCACTGAGATTGGGTGAGGGATGGGCATGCCTTTGGTTTGTATTGCGGTTGGGGAATGTTTAGGGTGAGAGATCCTACACAAAGACTGGGTTTGACTTTCCTGATGGCCAGGGGGAAATGTCCAGACTTTCGTACAGCTTGTGCAGATATCATGCTAGAGGGGGAGGGATGAGATTTGAAAACTGTCAGTTGTCAGTATTAAAAATAGTCAGACTTTGTTTTTAATTACAAAGGAGAATTCAGAGAAGACTAGAGTGGGATTATAAAGACTTCTGGGAATTAAATAGCCATTTCCTCTGAGACTTTTGGGCACAAAAGAAGCAGAAATCACTTGCTTCAAATTCCCGGCCTAGTGCTTGAGTTTCCAGTGGTTTCTGAAATTACTCTAAATACATTCCTGCCCTTGTATATTGTGTATTAAATGAAGTGGCAGTCTAAGTGGCATTTATTATTATAAAATAGAATATGATAAAATGGAAACTGTTGAGGATGCTGGATGTTCTACAGTGTCAGATAGCCTTTTTAAAAGTTTTTTTTTTTTTTTTTTTTTTTTTTTTTGGTTTTTCGAGACAGGGTTTCTCTGTGTAGCTTTGCGCCTTTCCTGGAACTCACTTGGTAGTCCAGGCTGGCCTCGAACTCACAGAGATCCGCCTGGCTCTGCCTCCCGAGTGCTGGGATTAAAGGCGTGCGCCACCACCGCCCGGCTAAAAGTTTTTAATATGTTTATTTATGTGTATGTGTGCCCGCACGCATGCGTGTGTGTGTGCGTGTGTGTGTGTGTGAGTGTGTGTGTGTGTGTGCGCGCGCACTTGCGTATCACGATGGACATGTGGCAGTCAGAGGACAACCTGTAGAAGCTGGTTCTTTCATTATACATCAGCCTTGGGGACTAAACTCAGGTCTTCAGGTTTGTCTGCAAGTACCTTTCCTGCTAAGCGATCTAGTTGACCCAAGATTTGATTCTTTAGATAAAAATAAATAAGCACACCCATTTCATCAGTGAACCAATTTTTTTAATATATGGGAAAATTAAATGAACTTTAAGAATAAATCTCTTTGAAATTTATAATCAGTGAATGTTTGTACACTTATTTTATGTTCCAGTATACTTGGGGTCACGTGACAATTTCTTAGGCATAAGGGGGCATCAAATAGAAAATGTTCTAGAAGTCTAGCTTTAGGAAAGGCCTCTAGTTCTTACCATCTTTTCCTTTTCCTATTCTGCTGTCTGTTTCTGTGTGCAAGAATCCAATATAACAAAAGGTACTTTACTTGAACACTGTCTACTGGTAGCCAAGATACAGTGATCAGGGCTCCTCGTGAAAACAGGCAGAATGTATGTTGGGCTGGGGCTTCCTGTATGAGCAAGAGTTCGTGCAGAGAAGAGGAAGAAAGGTGAGCCATGCAGAGAGGAGAGCATGAAAAGAGGGCGCAGGCTCACAGAGCCTGGCCATCTTCTAAGCCCTCCTGGAGCCTCTGGCCCAGGACGGGAGAGGTGTAAGATGGGGCCAAGGATTTGGGAATGGCCTGTGAAGGGTCTCTCCTAACAGGCCAGTCATTAGGCTTCATTTGTGAATGTTTCAAGGGCCACTGAAAGTATTAAGTGGGAGGAATTAAATGGTTCTGTTTGTGGTCTAGGGTGCTGACTCCTGGGATTGTGTGACATGGGGAAGAAGGAGGTACCGAGGTGTTCTGAACTTGGAGCCACAGAGGCCAGCCAGCAAGTGGGGCCGTGGAAGGAGAGGGGTTGTGTAATCATGGTACATTAGAGAGTCCATGTGCTGAATGACCGAATGGAGAAGGAAGAGAAGGGAACAGTTTCTGGCTTGAGCCAAGGATGTGGGTGGTGATTGCTCTAAAGCGGGCAGAAGGACAGGTAAAAGAAGGGGACCAGCTGGCTGTGGCCATCACCACATCCATCCCCTCAGCATGGTGGTTTCAGCTGCGTGGAGCAAGTAATAACTGAGTCAAATTGAAAGGAGAAGCACTTTCAGCATACGTAGCTTTACTCCAGAAGAAACAGCAGGTTCAAATTGATGTTTCAGGCCTGTAATCCAGAGACTTGACAGGCTGAGGCAGAAGGATGGCAAGTTCAAGGCCAGCCTGGGTAACTTAGTGAGAGCCTGCCTAGAAAAGAAATGTGCAGAGCAGGTTGAGGCTGTGGCTTCTGTAGCTCCATGGTAGAATGCTTGCCTGAAGAAGAAGAATATACATGAACCTCCCATCCCAGTACCACCAAAACCAGAACAAAAAGCAAGAAGATCAAGGAGATTTGGAAACCACAGAAAAATACTATTTTTTAAAGTGAAAGAAATCAGCTATGCCCTGACCACTAGAGACATCCATGATGAACACGGTTAACACTGAAACAGTTAAAACAGATTTTGTTAGTGTTTCATTGTGGTCATGCATGGCTTTTGACATTGAAGTCTCTAACTGATCCTTGCTTTACATGCAGGAGATGTGTGTAGACCTCCAGGCTAAAGAGTAAGAAAGGCTGTTTAAGTTGGGGCTGAGGGTGTCTGTGTTGGAGAGAGTAATTGATAGAAGTAGGTCCTAGGCTTGAGGAATTAAAACATAAACCATAGATAAGTGACAACCTGTGTGAAGGCATCTAGAGTGTTAACCTCCCTGAAACAGACCTACTTACAGAGGTAAACTCTTTTACTGGTTAGCTCCCTGTCTCTTTAAATCATGGTGCAGTGACAAATTACAAAATATTTGTAATTCCCTTGGCTGATTCACACACTTGCAAAAATCAAATGTGTGTGTGTGTTTTTTTTTTCTTTTATTTAGTGCGTTATCTGAGCTACTTGGCACCGATAGGTTGTGTTGGGATATTTTGGTTGGCCATGGCAGAAGTCCAGCTTAAACTTGGTCAAAACAAACAAAGGAATCCGTTGGCATGTGTTGGTGGAAAGGCTCCAGGGGTCTGGCTTCAGCCACAGCTGGATGCAGGTGGTCAGACCCAGGAAGCTGCTCTCCCCAGCTGCCGGCTGCTGACAGCTTTTCCCAGGCCATGGGGGAGATGGCCATTGATTACCTGTTAGCTTAGCAACCCCGTGGGAGCAGTCCCCTTTCCTTTAGTTTCATCTGAGACCCCATCGGGAGGACACTTCACTGGTCTGAGTCAGGGGCCTGGAGAATGTGGAATTGTCAAGGGCCAGGGCCAGGCCATGTGCTTGATTTTGGGAACCAGTCATACAGTCTTGTCTAACCACATGGCCAAGGCTGGGAGAGTGGAGGTTTCTCAAATGAAATGTGGTGGTGCGGAAAGAAGGGGCAGTTCTGAACCCTAGGGTCAACGTGTTCCCAAAGTCTGTCACTTTTCATACTTTAAAAGTATTTGATCAACAAAACTATTACATTAGTATCACTAGTATTAATATTAGTGATACTAATGTTAGTACATATACTAATTATGCATAATAATGTTTCCTTATGACACCTTCAAAAAGGTGTATGATATATTTTGATCATATTCACTTCCTGTTACCCTCTCTTGCTGTTGCCCAAGAATCTTGATTTTTAAAGATTAAGCATTGTTTGTAAGACTATTATGAATGTTTCAGAGAAGATACTATTAAATAAGTTAACTCAAATTTAAT